GTAAATGATTGTTGGTGAGAACTATCTGAGAGTATAAGTTGTGGGAGATGTGATTCAGATCGTGAGATAGAACTTTGAAGAGGAGAAGGCGTAGCCCTATTCTTTGTAGCAGATGGCATAAGATTAACTTGCACGCTCAAACCTTCGGGAGTGAAGAGAATTGTCCCTGCATCAAGCAAGTCCTGGACTTGGTGCTTAAAAGCTACACAATCTTCAGTATCATGGCCAGGTGCCCCAGAATGAAATTCACACCTAGCATTGTCGTCAAAGCCATGAGGGCGATTTTCATGTGTAGTGAAGATTCAAAGTTTTACCAAATGAAATCCTAGCAGGGGAGGAAGCAATTGTGCATACAACATTAGAATAGGATCAAATTTTTGTTCAGGCTATTTTGGCCTTTGTTGACGGACTTTGTCTTTTGGGTTCTTTTAGGAAGCAACAATTGGTTGCGGATGGGAAGATCCTGGAATGCAAGGCGGTGGAGGAGATACTCCCTGACTTAAAAGAGTCCCATATTATAGGGAGGAATGGTAGCTCCTATTGTAGCAGGCATGGAAACATCTTCTTTATTCAACATCGTCCCCAGAATTTCTATAACCAAACTGAACTGATCCTTCAACTGAGTGTTCTCTTCTTTCAAGAGTTCTTGTCTGCAGACCAAATCCTGCATGTCTAGCAGTAAAGACCCCATATGTTCTTTCATCTCGTCCAATTCCCCACGAAGTTCTTCCATAACTTGAATCTGATCACGGAGCGGCGAGAAGTCAAGATTTGCAGTTCTGAAAAGAAAACACCGGGTCTGAATAAGGATTCCCCATTCCGAGTACCTTTTGAGTACCTGCTATGGATGCATGAAGATGCATGAAGATGCATGAGGTGAGTGAGAGAACTCCTCTTCTGATATGATTTGGACACCACAGTCCTCGGATTGATCTCGTCTTGGACCTTGTCTCTAGATGACGTACCATCTTCAATCAAATGATCAGTTGCCCAAGAATAATATGCGTAGAAGATTCTTTCAGGAAAACAAATGAATGCTTTTCCAAGCGAATCGATATAAACTACATCATCAGGCATATTATGCCACAAAAAAATACAGTTTGTCTTCTATCAGAACAAAAGAGACATCCACCTGGTGAGAAAGAGTGTGGCAATTGGCCAAATAGGAATTGGTCCTTTGGAAGAGACGCCAAACAGGTGCTTAGCTTTATATTTCAACCCCATTGTAGTCTTTAATATCAAAACCGGGTACCCCAGAATAGGGGATGCATCTAGCCTGTGTATGGCAATCAGAAGATCTGTTTGTGGGAGGAAGACCTCAAAGATCATAGCTGGAGATAATAGGATATAGTGCAGTGGGCTTGTAACAGCATGCTCATCAGGCAACTTTTGTCTTTGCTTAAAATCTTTTTTTCATGAATTCCCCAGGGGAACAAAGACTGGTTGTTGTTGAACAGATCAGTGAACACAAAGTTATGAGGGATGCCCCTGATTAAAAAGTATGATGCCCCGGTGTGGCAACCACTTCTGACGTTGTTCAATAAGAACGAAGCACTGATATAAGATCCTATAGTAAATGGGAACCATTTGCTGATAAGATGTTCCAAGAAATCAGGAATGCATAACACTCCATGGTTGGAAGCAATTCCCAAAAGATGAGGAGAAGAGAGAACCTTTATTGTAACAGTAGGTGCAAGATTGTTGACATCGTCATCAAAGCTTTCATGACCTAGCTCATCTGAGTTTTCAATCAATTATCTTTCTGCTTGAAGAGATTTCTGACCACGGGCCAAAGCTTGCATGTATATCACTTAGAGTTATTCCATAACCGATCCCTGAACAAGTGCAGTAAGAAATCAAGTTGAACCTCTAAAGAGAACACATGGTCTGAGCAAGAATCCCTAATCTTCGAGTACCTGTTATGAATGCATGAATATGCAGAGTGCATAAATGGATGCCATGTCATGTTCCTTCATTTCCAAAGAATTTGCGTGCTTTAGTTTTGATTTTACGCAAATAAGGATGGAAAAGTTTGACACAAGGCTTACAAATATGATTCCTTGGAAATAACAGAACATGTATGTTAACCATGTTATGTATGCAAAGACATGGCATCAAAGTTCCATTATTCCATCATTTCTGAATATGATTGCTGCATTATTCTGGATCATATGAATATCACCAGATCAGAGGTCTGGCACAACTTCTGCACATATAAGAACCAAGTACTATGTAGATCACTGATTGTACGAGATCAAGGCTTCTGGAACTGGATACCGTTGAGCCTTTTATGAACATGCTGGGAATACTAAGATCGAAGGCCTGAATGAACCTCCAAGTATACAAATCAGGAACTCAGAAAATAAATTTGAGAACCATATAGTCACCAACAGAATATAGCATCTGAATAAGTCACCAACAGAAATCCAGAATATAACCATTAGAACCAATAGTCACTGTCTAATCATAATCTCCATCTGAGCATGAGTAACCATCTGAACATAGTCACCATTTGTACCTGTGATAAAATTTCGCTCCCCTCTCACGGGTGAAGACTAGGTCAGGGTAAGGCAAGGGTAATTCGAAAATCACGGGTTTGCTTGAAAGTAAAATCATCGCAACACAGACGTACATGATGAAAGTACCGCCAATTGAACCTCATCCGAGCATGGTATATGATATGAATGCACTAGTCGAACTACGTCCTATAGCCGTCATGCCCCCACTCTATTCCTAGTGTCCTAGTGTACTCTGTCCTGGGTACTGGGCCTTTTACCTCAATAGTAACATCCCCACCCAATCAAGAAGCAGATCTAGTACAACAGTAGTATATGGAAAACAATAAAATGCAATGCATACATATGCTCAAGTATATACAAAATGAGGTAATAAACTAAAAGCATAAAAATGAACACCCAAAGAAAAGAAAGCAAGAGCTAGGAGAGACTCCGGGATGGACCAGCAATAGGTCAACATGTTTCCCCAGTGAAGTCACCAGCTGAAACAACCAGCTGAAAATCATCAAACAATGAAGTCGCCATCGAACGTCTTTTATCCCACAGGAAGGTAAAGGTAAACATCGAGAAAACCTGAGGAAGGAGAAGTGACGATCTTGCGACCGATAGATCGGGTAAGGGAGTCTGTTACGCGAGGGGAAGGTATTAGCACCCCACGCGCCCGTAGTACTCTACGGTATCCAGTCTTGTTATCTATCTTATGGGTGTGTTTAATATATGCTTACTGTTTACTATACTACTGAAGGGAAAATGCACGAAAAAGAAAGGGGAAAAGAATGTAGGGAAAATAAAATTGTGCTCGTTTGGGCCCTACCCCGATGCCTACGTATCCCTTTTAAGGAATCAGAGCAGCCGTAGTTCGACTCACATGTTTTTGTTGGTCTGTATTTTTTAATGAACAATATTAATTTTGCCTTCTTCCGCAACTCGACCTTTGGAGACTTACGCGTCAGCACATAAGTGAATTAACATGCTCTTTTGAAAAAGTTTAGGAGAAAAGGTGCTTGGGCGCACAAAAAGGTTTGAATTGGTTTGTGTTTTTTTAATGAACAATATTAATTTCGCCTTCTGCCGCAACTCGACCTTTGGAGATTTACATGTCAGCACAGAAGTGAATTAACATGTTCTTTTGAAATTTTTTTGAAATAAAAGCCCATAGGCAAAAGGAGTTTGTGTTGGTCGGTGTTTTTGCTTGTAGATAACAGCTAGTTGACCTCAAGAGAGAGATTTTAGCCGTTTCTCTACTTATTCATGAAATAAGTCTTTGAGACTTGAACCACACCAAAGCTTAGAATAAGAGAACAATAAGGTCGAGAAGAAACCCGCTTATCATCTCCCATACTTAACGAAGATATGATTCTCGTCAGTAAATTTTTTAAAGTATTTTTGAGTTTGTAAGAAAAAAAGAAGTTTTGTTTTGAATGCATATGCAAAAGGGGAAAGAAAAGTCAAAGGGAAACTAGCATTTTTCTAAACCTAATGTTATCATACTTCACATGATCTCTAGGAAGCGATAAATGCAGAGAGAAAGTAAAAAGAAAATATACCAAACAAGTACTAGCCCGTAGAGCAAAGCAAAAAAAAAAAGCAAAGAAACCCGACGATCTTCGCGAAAGCTTCACCATTCAAAGAAAAGAGTTAGAAATCAAATGCCCAGAATAAGTATCGACGCATCATCGATTGCGAAAATAAATCAAAATCAAAGTCTTAGGCGCATCCGTATAATAAACCTGCATAAGACTCAAATCTCACCAAACAAAGATGAATCGCGAATTTCAAATATAATTGGATAATCGAAATTTAGTTCCTAAAACTAAAATAAAAAATCTACAAGTTTTTATTGATTTTTTTTATAATTTTTTATCATAGAAAAATATATAAAAAAACTATAAGCAGAATCCTAAATCTTAATAAGCAAATATGAGAATCAGGGGGGGAGGTGTAAGATTGAATCAGAGGTTATGGTGCAGAAATTAGGGCGCTAGGCCCAAATAGAAGATCAAGCAATAGTTTTTTTTGTTCAATTGTGATCAGGCTTTCAAAAAAAACGTGACATGCGCTTGAGGGAGCACAGCTTCGGACCAGACCCAACAACACTATGATACCATTTTTCCTTCTACATTCTATTATCTCAATGTTTAGAAAATAATACAAAAAAAAAACAGGAAAATTAAGAGAGGGGTATACGTGAAATTAGGGTATAGTGTGGCCTTTCGTCTTACTTTGAGAAATAGAATTTTCTCTTCCTTCTCTCCAATCGCGGTGCAACTTCTCCCTCTCATCTTCTTTGATTCACATTCGGTTTGCTCTATCTCCGATCACTTGTCCGCACTCCGGCTTCAACATCTTCGTGAGCGATCTTCGTCCGCCTTGAATTATGTTTGCTACCGGCGTAATCAGTGACTTGTAGACATCAAAGACACTAGCAGAAATCTCAAGGTTTGATTTCGTTTTCACTTCATCTCTCTACTTCTGATTCTGATTATGTTACTGCTTGATTGCGCTTGTTATGATAAGCATGGTATTATGGTGTTTGTAGAGAGTAAAAGGTAAGGGATGATTCATGGCGCGGGAGGTTGAAGGATATGCGGTTTGTAAAAGTTTGTATAGAAGATGAACTTGTGCAATACAAAGTTGTTGATCCCGTTGACGAAGGTTGAGGCAGTCGCAGATGAAGGTGATGCTGCAATTTGATTGCAGGAAAAAAATCGGAAGACCTGAAATCCACACTAACGACGAAGACGAAGGATCTGGTTGCGTCTTCTCAGGTAACTCTGCTCTTATCTTTGTTCTTCCTCTTTGCTTCTTCTTCACTTTGTTTACCTCCCTCTTTTTCTTTCTTTTGTGATTTCTGAATCTTTGGTATCCGCAATTTCAACTAGGCGTTGTTATTGCGCAGAAAGAAAGATGAAGAAGATGATTGAAGGTGCGATGTTGTATAATTGAGGATGAGGAGGAAGTCTGTGTGCGTTTTTATGGAATAATATGAACTTCAGGGAGGCAAAAAAATTTGTTGCTCGTTTGCAAGGGATGCGATTATTGATGAAGAAGGAGATGAGGAATTGCAGAAGATCGATGATGATAGAAGCGAGCTGCATAGAGAAAGGAAATTGAAGGTTCTGTTTTTGGTGATTTGTGTAGCAAGATGCTGTGGAGAAGATGGAACTCAGAGACAGAGAGAGGAAAAGAAATAATTGGAGGTGTCTGTGAAACTGGAGAAAATCATGGAGAGACGAATGATGGATGAAGATGATTATTTTATAGACAGCTGAAGATTGAAGATAATGGAGAGGAGATTCAATCTTGATGAAGGTGAGTTTTTATCTGGGTTTTTAATCGTTAATTTTCCTTCTCTCTTGAATAATGATCCCCCCTTCCTCCTTTTCTGGTGTTCTCTTATATAGATTTTCTGTTGAGAAGTTTGTTTTATGGTTAGAAAAATTTTGTTAGGGAATTAGTTATGGTAGTTGGAAGGTTATTGGTTTTCTGTTAAGTTTGTTACGGAAATCAGAAGCTAGCTAGTAACTGTTATAAGGTTGGTTGGAAATCTGTTAGAGGGTTGTTAGAAGGTTATTTAGGAAGGTTAGTTATAGGGTTGTTAGGAGAATATGGTTAGGGAAAGTTGTTAGAAATTCTATTATTTCCAGTTAAACAGTTAGGAAGTTAGTTATGAAAACAGTTGGGATCGTTGAAACTGTTAAGAAAACTGTTAGTTGGTTAGAAAATCAATTAGGGATATGTTTGTTAGTTTCTATTAGTAGTTAGAAATTAGTTTTGTTTTCTGGTTTTCTGTTAGTGAGCTGGAATATTATGATATTTTCTATTAGAAAACTCGGTTAATCATCTGGTTTTGATAAAAATGTTAGTTGCAGTAAAAAAAGGAATGAGATATGTTAGTAAAAAAACTAGAAAATTAGTTAGTGAAATGTTAGTTAGAATAATTAGTTAGGGTTAGAAATAGAACCTGTTAGTTTTAAAACTGCTAGTAACTTGGATAGGTGGTAAAATTGTTAATACAAACTGATGGTATTAATTGTTAGGAGAATGCTATTGTTAGTTCTGTTAGTAGTAAGGGCGAGGTGGTTTATTTGGTTTGGAACTGTGAAATGATTTGATGAATGATGCAGAGCAACTAGTATGCAAGAACTGGTTTTGTTTTCAGTTATGGGCTCATTAATGGAAATGTTAGCTGTCAGAGATAGGGTGTTAGTTAAAAATCTATTAGAGGCTATTATTCAAGACATTTAAGAGGTTAATTCAAAAATGATCGGGAGGTCCTGGAAATCGAAAATGAAAATCATGTTAGTGACAACTCACTGTTATCTACCGTACTTAATGTCAAATCTATTTAGCAAAAGAAGGATTGCAAAATGTTAGTAAAATTGTGAGTTAATGTTAGAATCAACCTTGTTAGTAGGTTGGTTGAAAGATCTGAAAATTAATTGGAGGTCTTGTTTGAATAGTTATGAACTATTAAATTCTAAAAGTGCGGAACTGTATTTAACTTAATCATGTGATCTGTTTCACAAAGGTATGCAATGTTGACTGGATTTTTGTTGGATTGATCTTATGTGCAGGTTTGGTTGAGTCTAAAACAGGGCAGCAGGGTAGTTTGAAGAATGTAGCAGATCGGTTCATTTAGGGCACGAATATCGAGGAATACATGAAGATGAAGAACTTTGGCATAGCATGGTGGTGAATCACGTAATTCGAAGGATAGTCAAACACTTGGCATGGTGATTGGAAAATAGAATTTGTATTAAGAATGATTGGAGATTGGGTTTAAGTTTTTTTGATAATTTTTCATGTAATATTTTTTAGTGTAGTTTTTCTATGGTTTTTTAATGGTTTCTCTTGAATTTAATTGAATCGACAAAAATAGTGTATAGAATTTGAAATTGGAATGACTTATGGTGAATTTGTAATGAATGAACTTGTTGGAATTTTTGTTGAATGTGGAATGAAGAGGTTTTGAAATGGTGAATGGAACTTGAATATTATAGTGTGAACTATAAATGGATTTGCGCTTGTAATTTCTCTTGAAACCAAGGTAATGCAGTATGATCTTGCATACAAATGTAACTTTGGGACCTCTTGAATCAAAATGACAAATTATCAAGGGTGCAAACTACTTTCTTTTCATTTGATTTTGAGTTTCCCGAGAAAGAAGTGTCTTCCTTTCTTTTTGAATTTTATATCCCAAGTCCTTCATTGACCTTGTGTTTATGAAACCCCAATGTCTCGCATTCTATCAATTTAGATGAACTCCTCTGCTTGAATATCTTCAAATGAACGAATATAGGTTTCCTTAAATCAACTTGAATGAATCCATTATTAGACGTCTGCATGTCCTTAGTTCAAAAACCCTAATCTTCCATACAAAGCTTTTTAGATTTTGATCTCAAATCATTTAAATGAAATCCGAAGAAAATAGATTGATCCACAAGTAAGCCAATCGACCAGATGAAGAGCTTTGCATTATAAGGCATACAAACCTTAATTCGGGAAGAAGTTCCAACTGAATCTTCTTCTCTATAATAGAACTGTTTCCCACATAACTAGAGATTAAAGAAATGCTTTTCTCCTTACTTTCCAAAGATATATCAATTGAAATCCTGGTTATTCATGGATGATATCCCCCGATGATAGCCTTGCCTGATAATCACAATTTCACAGAGAAACCTCTCTTAAATGGTACATGATTTAGAGAAATAAACCCTAATCAAAGGATGACGTTGAGCACAAGGAGATAATGAATGCCTGATTTAGTATCCCTTAGATGACCTCGTAGAAAAACTTGGAAATGAACATGGGAATACAGAAAGAAATATGACCAAGATGGCCATGACTAAAAAAAAGCCTAATGAACCTCGGTTGATGAAATGCTGACAAGCACAAACTTGGTGGAGAAAAACTCTGACTCTTGTCTTCAATGCATCTGAATGAGTAAAAACCCCCTTAACTTGAAGAGAATGGAACGCTCAATAAGCATAGGTTGCAACCCTAATTCCACATTTCACTGCTTGAAGGATAATCAGAAGAATCAGGCTTTATTGGATACAAACACCTTAACCGTTGTGAAACCCTAATATCGCACAACCACTGAACTTTAAATCTCAAGCTCTTCTGAATGCAAATGTATGTTAATGACCTAATGGAATATATACATATGAATTCAAGAGTCTAAGCCAAATAGAAGAAATTAGGAGGGCAAATTTTGGGGTGCAACAATGTGGCCCTCCTTTGATGCAAGCCTAGCATGCCTCTTTCGTTTGGGCATGTGGTTCCCTTTGTTGCCAGGTTCGCTTGGGCATTTAGACCTCCTACATGCAGGCTTCGACAGGGCATTGGCTATGTTTATACTAGCTTCGACTGGACAACATTTCCCTTTGAAATAGTATGCTGTAATTCCACCCTTGACAACCTACAGCACACATGGTTGGTGGCCCCCTTCAAAGGACATGTATTGGAGGATTTGAAGGGTATACATAGGAGTCCCTTTTGAAGGATATACCTTACTAGCTTATTAGAATAATAGAATAGTCCATTCAAAGGATACATATTTGTCCCTTTCAGAGATACATACATGACCCATTCAAAGGACATGTCTAGGTGTCCCATTCGAAGGACATGTTTGATAGCCCATTCAAAGGACTTACAAGACCCACCTTAAGGTATACTTTAGTGACCCATTAAAGGGGAACGCATTTGGCCCCTTCGAAGGATGTATAAAAAGGTGCCATTCGAAAGACACTTTGTGATATGGTGGCAGAACTGACTGTTAAATACTAGTTTTGCATTTTTTTTGTTCGCAAATGTGGGGTAAGCAAGAGTTGCCACCGTATTTTCTTTTATCCAACAAAGGAAAGGGTGAAAAGAACAGAAAAATACCTTTTCGAGAGTTTTCTGAGTAAGGGGGTAGATTATGGAAAGGGAAGGTATTAACAGCCTTTCCATCTGTGGTTTTCCGCGGGCTCTTAGAGGTTTGCTCATTTTTCAATATGCTTATGTGCTTTGTGTTTGAAAATATTTTGAAAACGCCTTAGTACAACAAACTTTATAATGTTTCTCGGGATAGTAGAGAATGTATACAAAGTGTTTGAAAAATGTCTTTTGAAAAAGTAGTTCTCTATGTAAGTGCAAAATGTTTTGAGCACACTTCTAACAAATATCTACTTTATTGCTCAAAAAGGGTCGTTCTTTTCCTCTTTTCCTTTAGACAATGCTATCCTACTATTAGTGAATAGGTAGCCTTATTGTTGGATATTGAGGGACAACCGAAGGGACGTTACAGTCACAAAGGCAATTTTTTGGAGATGATTTAGCAATTCTGTTTTAGGGACTAGATCATTTACCGAGAAGGCAACTGTGGGCTCACCGAGGGACTATGATCTTTTGATTTTACGGGTCTTTGCTAAAGCATTCCTGCCCCATGACTATTTTTTAAAGGCAACCAAAGTGGGTGTACCTTAGAGGTGCTTGTGTGCAATTATGTTGTGTTTCAGTTATTTTTGTCTTTTTATTAAGTTAGCTAACGTTTTAATTTAGTCATTCCATACATGCCTAATTACTAACAGTAATATAGCAAAATAAAACAGTAGAGGTGCGGAAAATAAAATGCAGAAAAAGTAAATCCTAAACTATTACACGGCTTTAGGAGAGATACAATATAAGTGCATGAAATAAAATGCGGAATTTTAAATCTAAGACTATTAAATCCATGGGCAGTTACATTACTTACATAAAATGCTAGGATAAAAATAAACGCGCGCAAAATTGGAAATAATTTCTAAAAATATCCTAAGAAGTGAAAATCTTTTTGTTTTGGTTTTATCATGAAAAGAAAATTAAATCTAAATTAAGTCCTAGATTCTAATTGGTTTTAAGTTAAGAAAATGGTTAAAATTTAATTAATCAATTAATTAAGAAATTAATTATTTAATTAAAATATCTAAGCCTAATTTTTATGATTTTTGATTTAATGTTAATTAAAAAAGATAAAAAGTCCACTAAAAAAATAAAGAAAAGAAACAAAAGCAAAATAAGAGTACAAAGAGGCATCCTTTGATTGGGGTGAAGAAAGGGGGAGGGGGGTCGATCCAAATGAGAAGAATAAGGCCTTTTTGATTCAAGAGAGAGATGCCATTCGATCCAAGAAGGAGGCGTCTTTTGATCCAGGGAGGAGGTGCCTCCT